GGGGTGTAATCCGTCTGGTCCTGGCGATTTGAACTCATCTAGGATGGACAGGTGCTCACTAACGATTTTCTTGCCTATCTTAACTTGTGTTTCTGTTTTGTTTTTTGTGGCACTATTTTTGATAGGTTGGTCTGTTTTTTCCCTTTGTGTAAAGACAGATGCAAAAAATGAGTTAATTAGTTCTGCTTTCTCCCTGTTGCTTGTCACCTTCTTGCCACTTCCACCCACTAATGGACCAATCATTTCCTTCAATTTTTTCTTGTTTTTTACATGTTGAAAGAAGCTTTTTTTTTTGTTATTTTTGACTTTGGTCGCAAGCCTCAGTTCATTTTGAGCCTTGGCTTTCTTCACTTCATCTTTGCAGGCTCGGGCTATTTGCTGATATTCTGACGTAGTTATGTTCCCCTCTTTCCACTTTCTATACTTGTCCTTTTTATCTTTCAATTTGTCAGAGAGTTCTTTATGCAGCCATGCTGGTTTCTTTTGAGAGCTGTTGTTTTTCCTCTTTGTTGGTATTGTGCTAGACTGTGCTTTTATTATCTCATTTTTCAAAATTTCCCAAGCTTCTTGAGTTGTTTTCCCCTTGAGGATTCTCATCCATGGAATCCTTCCCAAGCCCTCTCTAAGTTTATTGAAATTAGCTCTCTTGAAGTCCAAGACTCTAGTTTGACTGTGTTCTATTGGTTGTGCTTCTATAATGTTGAATTCTAATATTGCATGATCACTTCCTCCCAGGGTTCCTATGGCTCCAACACCGTCTATCATTTCATCTCTGTTAGTGAGAATTAGATCCAAAATGGCTAATCCCCTAGTTCCATTCTCTACTTTTTGGGAGACAAAGTTGTCTGCTAGGTTTGCCAGGAACCTGTTTGATCTTCCACTTGGTGCGGAGTTTGTCTCCCAGTTGATGTCAGGGTAGTTAAAGTCCCCCATTACTATTGTGATGTGCTTCCTACATACCTTAGTTAGCTGACTAGCAAAAAGTTCATCTATTTCCTCTGTTTGGTTGGGTGGTCTGTAGTATACACCTATGGCAATGTCATTCCCCCCCCCTTTTATATTGACCCAAATGCATTCAAGACAGTTTTTATCATTGTTGTACTCTATTTCTGTGGAGATGTAGTTATTTCTTATATAGAGAGCAACTCCACCTCCTCTTTTATTTGGTCTGTTTCTTTTAAATAATTTAAATCCCTCTAGCTGTGTGTTCCATGTGTGAGTTTCATCCCACCATGTTTCCGTAATGGCAACAATATCGTATCTGCCCTCATTAACCTGAATTTCTAGTTCACCCTGTTTGCTGTTCATACTTTGTGCATTGGTGTATAAACATTTGAGTCCTTTGTGGGTGGCCCTGTGTTTCCTTTCTACATAACCTGTGTGGTGCCTGAGTTCCCCTATTGTCTTACCACCTATTTGGTTAGTGCACTTTATATGGCACTCGCTATTAGAGGCTTCATTTTGATTGGTAGCAAGGTTGGTATTCTTGTCCACACACACATCTGTGCTACATGCACTGATAGCCCTATAGTTTTTAAATTGCCGGGGACAGGGTTGTTCCGTATCAATTAACTCCCTGTCCCCGCTGTTTAGTTTAAATTTCCCTCCAGAAAATCTGTGAATTTATAGCCGAGTAACTCAGTCCCTTTTTTTGATGGATGCAAACCATCTCTTTTGTACATCTTTTGATTGGACCAGCTACTGACATCGTGACTAATATATCCAAAGCCTTCCCCTTTACACCATTCCTTTAGCCACATATTGAATTGTGCTATGCGCTGGCCTTTTCCGTTTTGCTCCTTATACACTGGTAAAACCTCTGAGAAAGTAAGCCTACAGCCTATTCTGCTAAGTTCCTTCCCCAAGCTCTGGAAATCATTCTGCACAGAGAGTACATCTTTTTGGGACAGATCATTAGTGCCAAGGTGTACAATAGCCTCCACATCACAGTCCTTGCTGCCATTCTTGATTATTTTAGAAATACGCTTCTTGTCCCTACTGGCAGTAGCACCTGGAAGACACCTGACCTCTTTCAAAGCCTCTGTGTCCTTTCCTAAATTTACATCCCTTATAATTGAATCACCTACCAGAAGGTAGCTTCTCTTTTTGGGAGCCTTTCTATTCTTGCATGACTGATGTGCAATACCTGATTCACACTTCTCCCTATCAAAATCTAGTTCTTCATCTCGGACCACAATCCCCTGCTTATTTGAGTTATCTTCACAAATACCTTTACCAGTCTCCTTAATGTCCCTATTAAGGTCAGCAAGAGCACTGTAGCTGTTGTGCAGGGACACAGCGAAAGCTTTGTGTTTATGGTTCACAGCTCTCACCCTGCCAGATCCCACGGTTGTCCACACTGCCCTTTTCCTGCAGGATCTTTGTGGTAAAGGGGGCTGATAGCAGGGAGGCTTACTAGAGTAGAGGGGCTGAACTGGACACCTAATTTCTGCCCGAAGAGCACGGATTACAGACCCTAGGTAAATGATCTGTCCTTGTAGGCTAGTGATTTGTTTACAGATAGGACAGTTTCCAAGTTTGAAAAGGGTACTGCGAAGGACGGCTGCAAAGCAGGTGTTGCACTGAACTAAGCCGGACATCTTAGATACAGGGGATGTCAGACACACTTGCCCTGAATGTACTGCTACTGTTTGTGATTTTTAGTTATCGTGAGGCTGGCATCTCTCTTATAGGGTTGGCAGTAATATATTATGAGATTATCTGAGACTCTTAGTCTTATTGACTCTCAAAATATGAAAAGGTTTTTGACAGTTTTGAGTTTTGCCAAACTGCACCTATGAGTTTTGTGGACTGCACCTATGCCTATCCTAACTCCTTCAGACAGATAAAGTGGAAGTAAAGGAGTGGGATCAGGAGATAGCAAATTCTCTTTGAGAGAGGAATTGCTTGTAGTTAAGATGACCAATATTTTTACAATGAAAAGAGGACACAAATAAATTGAAAAAAAATATCGTAAATAAAAGAAACATTTTATTCATTGCAACAATAATACAGAATACACTGTAATATGATAAATGCATAATAAAAACATTTGTAACAATAACATTTTATATTGTAATTATGCTTACATGCCGCACCCCCACCTGCAGCCACCCCGCCAGCATTGCTGCCCCGCCGTGTAGAGTGGGCCCCGCGGCTCCCAAAGCACCAGCTGTGCTGGCTCTGGCCCCGGGGGTCAGCCCGCCGTCAACACACCACGCCTGCAGCTGCCCCACCAGCACCACTGCCCATCCTGCGCAGCCCCATGTAGCGCAGGCCCTGCAGCTCCCACAGCACGCGGGGCAGCTGGCCACTGGCGCCCCTCACATGGCCGCCCGCAGCAGCCCCGCCGCCCCTGCCTCTTGCACCCACAGCCATTATTGCCCTAGCAGGGCCGAAGATCAAGAGAAAGTTACTGTGGCGTCACCGCTCCAGTCTCCTCCAGGTATCTTCGAGACTAACTAGGAGATGGTGTAATTGGGTAGCAGGGAGGGGTGTAAAGTTCCTGCCAATTCACCTTTGCTGCAGACAACTTACATGTGCAAAGTTTGCCGGCCGGGAGTTTGGTGCTCAGCAGCAATTCCTATTGGCTTTCGAAAGCCAATAGGGGGAGTAGCACAGCTCATACAAAAGTTGAAAAAAAACATCAAAAAAAGGTGCCAGAATGCCATTTGAGCGTTCTATGAGAAAAAAAAGCCCTGCAGATTAGTCTTCAAATATCGAAAAGGAGGACATGTAGGAGGACACTTTTTGAGGGAGGACAGAACTCACAAAAGGAGGACTGTCCTCCCTAAAGGATGACGGTTGGTCACCTTATTGTAGTTGAAGGATTGGTAGTATGCTCTCTCTTGAAGGCATCATGTCTTAACCCCATTGTATTATGCAACTTTTGTGCAGTCTTCAACCTTCCATCTTTAGGAAAAATTTTGGCAGATAGTAGGATTTTACTGTGGATGAACCCAATGATCTTGATTTATTTAAAGTTGAAAGAAGGGTTGAACTGAGATGTCCCATATCTTAGTTCATCCACATAAATCTCTGAGAGATGCTTGTACAATAGTTTTCCTATATTAAAAAGTTATCCTGGAGAAGGATGGAAGGATGGAAGGAAGGAAGGAAAGAAAGAAAGAAAGAAAGAAAGAAAGAAAGAAAGAAAGAAAGAAAGAAAGAAAGAAAGAAAAGCTTCTTCTGGTTCAGGGGCTGGGTAATACCTCAGAAATCCTCCAAGGCTGCATGATTTTAGTAAGCGAAGAAAAGCCATTCCCAGAAAGCATGTCTACCAACATCACAAGGCCTGTAAAAAACAAACAAACAGGAAAAGTGAGGAAGGATGAATGGTACTGTACCTCTAGGAAGGGCCAATTCAAGGAATTCCCAATATCTGAAAATGATGACTCTCAAAGATTGTCTCTCACTTCACCTTTCCTGTTGAAAAAACTGAAGGACCTCAGTGCCCTAATATTTAATAGTCCAGGAATGCCTCAAAGTAATGTTATGTCTATCAAGCCAATTTCACTTGTTTTAATTCTGCCTGAAAGAACATTTTGAAAGCTTGGTTCTGGGATTTAGATGCATTTCTGCTCATACTTGGGTCAAGGAGGTAATACTTCAGCTGAGAAGTCACATAGCTGTGAAGACTTGAATTTGCTCCTATCTAAATACTGAAATAACTACGTCATATTCTTCTTCAGCTTACTTTACTTCATAAGGTTCTTCTAAAGGCAAAACCATCTGTAATTATTTGGAGAAAGGGTAAAATAACAATGAAATGCATAAAAGCACACTTTTGGAGAAGATTCTTCAAACTGTTTTTGTAGTTGTTTACTACGGTAAATGTCATTTACAGTTATGTGCCCTGAGCTGAAGATTGAGATGAGGAAAAATGAAGCAAGGAGTTAAATATTTCCTAATTGAGGTAACACTTGGCAAAAATAAACGTGGAGGGGGAGGGGCAGAGGAAGACAGGATGTAAATAACCAACAATGTAGTTTCTCTTTGAGTCTCATTGACGACCGACTGGTTCCTTTGGATGAGTTTACAAATGGTTCTTCTTATTTTACATTTAGCAAATACAATGGTTAGTATTCTGAGCATGCCCAGTAGAAGTACTCTGGAACCAGCAAACTGTGAACAAACCTGTTTGCACTATGCAGCTAGCTCAGATAAGCCCTAATTGTTATGCAACTCCTTAGCATAAGCTCCTGGCATGGCTCATATGATTCTCTTGTACTAAGTCTGTCCAAAATAGCAACAAGAAAGCATGTAACTAAAGACACAGCAGGGGTTGTAGGAATTCTCACAGGCCTTGGATGTTCCAAAGATCGAGCAGCTCCTTATTACTTATTCCAAAAATGCTTAGCATAATGTATTTTCTCCGGAGCTTCTTCAAGGTAAGAAGTTTTAAAACTTTTTTTTCTAAATGGTTTCAAATCTTAATTGCTAGAACTTGATATTATGAGGCTATAGATATGAATGACATTCCAAATATAAATTCCTTGTTAACATAAATATCATGCTTTTTTTTGGGGGGGGGGAGAATGTCTTTTATGATATTTTCCATAAATATATATTTTTACATTTGTAGTTCTAGAGAGTAACTATGGAAAATAATTGTCAGAATATTTTTATTCATTGAAGTAATTCAATATGCAAATGATTTATTTTGATACAATATTTTAATTTTATATATATCCTAAGCATCTTTCTTGCCTTTTAAACAAGTATAACTAAACTTTGTTTTCAAGTTATGCATTCATTTGTAAACACTTCTGGGATGCAATAAATTTTGTGTTCAGGTGTTAGGGCATTGCTGAATTTTATGAACTGGGTCACAGATCTATCTTGCACATCATAATTACTTAGAGGTTAACAGAACATTTCAATGTTAGTTCTGAAAGTAGTGTTATTCAAGTATATCCTGTTTTATGGTTTATCCTGTGGTTTATGCTAGCTGTTGGCATATTCCACTGCCTTGTCCTGTGCTGCCTGCTTCCAATTTTCAGCCTGATCCTATAGAATAAATTCCAATGGATGCAAGACAATTTACTTTACAGTTTAGAGGGCAGCCTTCGTCATTGTACGCAACTTCATTTACTCAACAAGAAATTTGCAAAAAATGTCCTGTCAACATGTTGAAAAATGCAGAAAATACAACTGGATAAATGCAATTTCTGTTATGACTGGAACTAGAACTAACAGGAGAACCTGCAGAAATCTTCTGGCACATTTAAAGGGAATTTAAGAGAATTAATCTCTGTAATATCCATCCACTTTTAAGTTAGAGTTTTGGCAAGTGTATCTTTTTCAATGCTTCTGTTGAGATGTTTCATGGATAAAAAGGATTGATCAATTAGGATCAATTAGGAGGCAGAACACATTCTAAACCTCTTTAAACAGATTAGAATATTTGATTATTCTATATTTAATGCAGCTCATTTCATGAACTTGCTTGAATTCATTGCAAGTAGTATGTTGTCATTTAGGCAAATTAGCAAATTTGAACAGCAAATTTAGTGTTTTTTTTTTAAAATGGGAAATAAAACCATTTTAGCAAAGAAGGGAAGATTGTCCCTGATGACAAATTATATATTCTATATTTCATTGTTTCAGAAGTTCAGAACAGTTGAATAAACATTTCTCTAAACAGTTGAGAGCCAGTTTGGTCTAGTGATTAAGGCACCGGGCTAGAAAGCAGGAGGCTGGGAGTTCAAATCTACCTTAGCCATGAAAACCATGACTTTGGGCAAGTCTCTCTCTCTCTCTCAGTCCAACCCACTTCACGGGGTGGTTGCTGTGAGGAAAATAGGAGGAGGAAGATGTGTTGTGGATATGTTCACTGCCTTTGGTTATTTGTAAAAATAAAAAGGTAGGATTCAAATAAGTAAATAAAATTAATGAAAAAGCAAAACTAAGGGAATTTTATTCATCTATAGTTTCAGTCTTCAGAAGGGAAGACACTCTTTTCCTTCTAGGTCTTTGACAGTAGTACGATAAACAGAAATGTATTCAGTCCAGTTTTCCCATTTACTTTATGTAATTGTGAAAATAATATTTTTCTTCCCCATTAAAGAGTGACAGTATTATCCCCAAAGCATATAACCTGACATGTCTATTTTTAAGGGAACTCAGTTAGACTAAATTATAATGTAATATGCTGAAGTGTAATCTGAACTAAATTATAGTGCAATATGCTGATTATGCATTAGTGCCCAAAGTTTTGTCATCTTCATTCTTGAATAGAAAATGGTTTATGCACTGAACAACGTATCGTGCAAAGAGTAATCAATACAATAGTCAGTTTATATTCTTATACAATACGTTGAACTGAAGGTATGCATGGTATTTCTCATTGCTCACTTATTTCCTCACTTGAAGGATTTTTTTAAAAAAAATAGTTTTAGAAAATAGTTTATCAATTCACTTTCTTCTAGATACCTGTAAATATGTTCATTAATTTATCCTAAAAAGCAAAAGCAAACAAACAATAAAAAAGAACTGGATTACCATTAATATTGCTCCTTCAGTTGATGGTTAATAAACTATAATGCAATCTCTTGATCCTTCTCCAAGACTGAAGTGTCATTATTTTTACAGGCAAAACTCCCATATTAGTTGTGGTCTTGTGATCTGAATGTAAATTACTCCCAGTGCTGAAGTGTCTTGCATGATTTTCATTTTATTGGGAGAATGACACTAGAAATGTCTTCATATCTCTAAGTCCTTTCTCACACTAGTGAGGACATCAATTTTAATAAGGTACAATTATATACATCAGTACTATGATTGGTCTCTTGTAGCTGTATTATAGGAGTGATGTTTTTCTTCTTTTGCAGGACTGACAAATCACTGCCATTGGTAAAAAAAAATATTTCTCTTTGAAACTGTTATGATTGTATCTATGGTGCAGGGGGGATGAGTTGTATAAATGTATGAATAGGCTTTAGAAAATGCTTTTCACTCCTGCTAGTCTTCTGAAAAATGTTCTTAGTTAAATCTGTTAGGTCTGGTTACCATAGTAATGTTGCTCTGGATACCCATATAGAGTAGTTTTATCCCATGGAGGGGGGCAGAGTAATTATTCTTGGGCTGGCTTCTTTTCAATCAGTTTAAGAGAAAAGCTGAGGCTCTGTTCTGTCTTCACTGTGTACAAAGAAATGATTTGTGCTACAATATTTGCTTATGTCTCTCTGCTCTGAATAAAATGGGAACTTTAAAACTCTGTAACTTTAAAACAACTTCTTCAATAATTCACCAAAAGTATCAGTGTATGCTTGCAAGTTTGGAATATTTCCACCACCAAAATGATAAAGGCTAAAAATTAAAGGAATGCATAGAAAATTCATTCAAAGTCATCCCAGTCATTCTAAAACTGTTACACTTCAAGTTTTCTGTAAAGTGTCATTGAAATGTGGAAGAATTTTACATCCAACTGAATAAGTTCTCCATAACAAAATTTAAACTGATAAGAGGAAATTAAATCTTAAAAATAATTTTGGCTTAATGCTGAATAAATACAATTAGGAGGATTTTGATTTTTGATTGCTTCTTAACTTAATAACTAGAATTGTAAAACTTTCAGCATTATAAATCAACTATCAAACTTTCAGTACATACATCTTCTTGCCCATTAGATTATGAATAAGTGATTAGCTTGAGTCTCATTTCTCCTTAATTTTACCATTTATAAACTATAATGCCATCTCTTTATCCTTCTCCTTTTCCAAGATATTGTTATTTTTCCATGTTATTTATACATTCTTATGTCATCTGAATGTGGATTACTACCAGTGCTGAACTGTCATGCACGATTTTCACTATGTTGGGGGAATGTCACTAGAAATGTCTTCGTACCTCTCTATCCTTCTTATACTAGTGAGAACTTACTAGAAATCAAAATGTTTTTTTTGATGTTATTTAGATATCTTCCAGATGTTAGAAGCATTTTTAAAGCAATTGCAGTAGTTATGGAACTGGCCCAGGATGTGGGAGACTAGTCTAGCTTTAGCATGGAAGGTCAACAGGTGACTTTGGGCCAGTCATTCTCTCCCAGAGCAACCTTCTCATAGAGTTGGTGTAGGAAAACCAGAAGACAGAAATACAATGTACAGTACATACATCTTTCAGAAGTATCCAACTGCAACTATGGCAGATCTTACCATTGATCATGTTGCCAGGAGCTGAGGGCATCAAATTAAGTTTGAACTGAAAGGATCAGCCTGAAAGCTGGTGTAGAAGGCTGGCTTACTACAAACCAGATGTTGGAACATAGAGAAAGAATGTTCTTGACATTCTAGGTTGTCCCTGCAGCTGCCATTGATTGATTGATTGGCTATATGGTGGCAGACCTTGTCTTCTTAGTTCCAAATATACCTTCTGCTAATCCCAACCAAACTCCTCCTGGTGTTTTAATAGGCTGAACCCCTGGCAGAAATAGTTTCTGATGCTGGTGTCTCCATGTTTGATTTTCATTTCTCCCAGCCATTAATATGTTGTAGATTTACTATGACAGATTATATTTTTGATTGTAATTTAACAGGAATTGTCTCTAGCTATATCATATTAACAAAATGAAACAGATGTTGAGAGACAGCATTATTCTCAATCTATTGGAATGCTTTGAGCTACATTCTTCAAAGGCTGTATTTTGGAATAAACAGTTGAATATGAATGGAATAGCCACTAACCAGCCATGATGTCTATTTAAATCAGAATTATTATTATGTGCCAGCTACTTCAGAGAGTCTAGAGAGGTTCACATCTTAACATGCTTGTTCCTTTTCTGAGCCTACAGAATTTTATTAGTTTTCAAATTGTTTGGACAAGACTATACAGCTCTGAAGTAACGGCACGTACCAGATGTTCATTTTCTTAAATAATTGAAATTACAGTTGTGTACAATGTTAGTGGTTGAACAGCTGCAGTCTTATCTTAAAAATGTTATGTGTAGTTGAGGCTGATATTTGGACTTATGCAAGCAAAACTGTGTCTCATCATGCACAAAACTTTGAAGACTGAAAAACTTTCCAAAATGATTCTGACATTTGGGCCTGATTTGTTTACAGCAACATCATTCAGTCAGCAGCTTATTCTGCCTACAGCAGAACCTGACATCTTAAAAATTGATCTTGTCCAATGGGACTGGGTGTGGATGGAATATACTGGGCCAAGTATGTGTGGTTCATGTATCCAGAGTCATATCTCAGAAGAATGAATTTGTTATTTATCATAGCATTCTACATCTTGAAAAGAATTAGCCCTAAACAAGAACAAAAAATTTATGGTCTTCATAATAAACTAGATGAACATGGAGAAAAAAAAGGACAAATGATTAAACAGAGGATCTGGTGGACCTGTGGATGAAGCCAGGACATAAATGGTGCAAACTGTAAGTAGTGCTAACAGTCAAATGCAGTATAGAGGAAATTAACACCTGCCAAAGTATGACTGGTTCTTTAGCAGTTTAATCTCATTAAATGCGAGATGAATATTAATCTTTCCTTTTGTGGAATTACATTATGTAGCTATGTAACCAATGGTTGCATGTGAACTATTAGGCTGTGAGAATTTAGAGAATTTGATCTCCTGACAATATTATATGGCTGATGTGGGGCTTTGATGTGAATACAGTAGTTGCCTTTGTAAATGAGTTGGATCTCCTTTGTGGCAGGGACGGTGCAGAGAAAAGAGCTGCTTTAAGGATAATTTCTAGGCTTGTGAGTCTTGAGGCCTTATTTTCCCTGTATTATGAAGATGAAATTGAAGGGTGGAGAGGTATTCAGAAAACTGGTTTGGCATGGGTGTGTCTCATAGGATGCCGTATCAAACATAAATTATTTGTAAGAATTTGTTTGGACTGGCTCTCAAAAAAAAAGTGCCACCTTTAATTAGGAATGGGTTTCTGAGAGGAAATGCCATGATTTGTCCTGTTTCATTAACAGTATGGTAGCACAAGTGTTTCCGATTCTGACTTTCAGTGCTTATTACTTTCCGAATATTCAGTTCATTAATACTCCCCAAATGTAATATTGTATGAACATCTGCTAATTCTGGATCCTGAATACAAATGCAGAATTTCTTAACAATCCCCTTTCCTTCTCTCTTAACTTCCTGACTTCCCTATGTGAGTATGTAGAGATTCTTTGGACCAGCTGAATGATAAGGGTGGTCCTGGGAAGAACTTGGAGACAGGGGACAAGTGTCTTGCTTCTAGACCTCTTTGAGTAGCCAGATTTAAAATATGGCTCAGTTCCTTTTGACAACTCAATTTCATTACAAACAGCAGCTACTTCGCAAAAGTAATCTCTGCGTAGTTCCTGCATATACAGTAGGCTTGGAGTATTTATCTGCTTTGAACAATGACCTCCCATCAAAAACTGAGACCCAAATTTGTATTAGCAATAATAATAGTAATAACATATTTAATGCCTTGCCTATAAATCCATTACATACGGTGTTTCCCCCAAAATAAGACCCAGTCTTGTATTTGTTTTGGCTCCAAAAAACGCATTAGGACTTATTTTCGGGGAAATAAGAGGCAGTGCGCGCACAGGGTCCAACGGTATCTGGCAGCAGTCACCGCCTACGTAGTGCAGGTAAGTCTGAGCACTGCGACTACCAAGCCGGCCCTTCAAGCAGAGGCGGGGGGGGAGGAGGCAGGCTGTCCAGACGTGCTGTGCAACCACCTGGCTTGTGGGAGGCTCATGCGGGACTCACGCGTTGGCACTGGCAGCAGGCAGAGGTAGAGGCATGGGAGGGAGGCCAGCAATCCTGATGCATTGCCCACTCCATCCTACTGTCTCTTGACTTGCCCATGGTACATTGGGATCACCTGCTTCCCCTTCTGTGCCTCTACCTCTGCCTGCTGGCAGTGCCAATGCATGAGCCTTCCTCAAGCCAGGTGGCTGCACAGCGTGTCCAGATCACCTGCCTCCCCCCCATACGTCTGCCTCCACCTGCTGCAGGTGCCATCACATGAGCCCCGCATGAGCCTCTTGCAAGCCTCCCACGAGCCAGGTGGCCACGCAGCATGTCCAGATTGCCTGCATCCTCCCACGCCTCTGCTTGAGAGGCCAGCCTGGTGATCGCAATGCTCGGACTTACCTGTGCTGAGTGGGCTGTGGCTGCTGCCAGACACCGTCAGCCCCTGCGGGCTCACCACCTCCTGTGCTGGCTGTGCAGGCTTATTTTTGGGGTAGGGCTTACATTAGGTGTATGCTAAAAAATCAGGCTAGGGCTTATTTTCTGGGTGGGTTTTATTTTGGGAGAAATATGGTATATTTATCTTATTTATTCATTAGATCCTGTAACACCTTATTCACAAATGACTCTAAGTAGGATAGTCTTTATTTACTTATTTATTCAATTTATATGGCCACCCATCTTGCAGAAGCAACTCTTATATTATTATACATTATAAAATCTAAAAATACTCTAATAGTACAAAATTAATAGTAAATAATGCATAATATTGCAGTCATCCAGCATCATTGAGCTAAAACAAGATATGTCAACTAAGAATCCCTAAAACTGGACTGGCATTACCCGTGAGATGAACTTCCTCTTATATAGAAGGTCAGAGACAGTCTAATCTATTCAACCATATGTGAGGTTATTGTAAAATTACTATTACTATTATTTATTAATCTTTTTCAAGTATTTTTATGAGTTGATTGATAAACTGAAATCTGACAAATGGTGGAATTTATCCACTAATCCGTGCCACTTTTTTGAAACTTTAAGAGTGGTTGTACCTAAACCTATAGAAAACTTGGTTAAGAAGGTCTAGAGCAGGCTGGTGTAGTTGGACAGATTTGGATTTTTTTCAGTTGTTCACTTTTTCTTATTTTAAATTCCATTCCAGTGGCCATAATTTTTAACTTTGCAAAAAGTTTATAAGCATTTGTGTTCATGTTTTCATAAGACAAACATTGGTGCAGAATTTGCCTAATTGGTGCATTTTGCAATATCACGTAGCTTGTCTGACCTTGTCTGAGCTCAGATGCTAGACCTGATTAGCAGCTGAATGTGAGATCTCCAGGCAATCCTGAAGCTACAGGTTAGACTGGAAAGTAGCAAATATCAGAAGATAAAGAAAGACTTCTTTGATGACTCAGATAGTAAGCCTCACAGACTCATGTGACAGCGAAATGGGTATCAGTGGTGCATAAATTTAATAAATAAATAAAAAATAAACATTATGTTGCTAGGAAAACTGCATGTGAGCATATCCATGAATCACCAGCAATTCAACTGTTCGTGAAGATTTCCCTATGCATTTTTCAAGCAATTTTATTTAATCTGTTTTATTTCTTTAAAATAAAATATGAACTTTGTGCATACTTTCCCTTAATAGACATGGTATTACTATGAATACTAAGTTGAAAAAAAATAACAAAATACCAGATAAAAGTGTCTTCATTTCATTGATTGTGGAAATGTAGTTTTTTTTATCAAAATGCAAATGAAATCACACATTTCCACTGTTCATACATTTGACTTTTTTTCCTTTTAAAAGATGACTGGACATAGCTTATATTTACTAAATTAGTTTCGTGAGTTAAAAGAGGTTGAAATGAATGATAATACTCTGAACGTACAAGAAGTAAATCAAATATATGCTAAAGAGTCTTTTGATCAGTAAACAAAAGCTTTTAGGCCACCCATGTAGTTGCAGACAGGATAGTTTCTTGATAAAAGCTGATTTACCAGATGAAGTTAAATGAATATACAAATATCAAGGCTGAGCACTAAGTGAACACTGAGATTGTGATACTGAATTGATGCTATTGAGAACAGGAAGATTTTACTGGTGGTATATTAATAGTAACCAGGTAGAGCAGTCTTCTGGTCCCAGATGTTTTGGGATAATTTTTTCCTAATTAGACAGAGCACAACTGGGGCAAAAAAGATATGTCCAGGAAAATCTAGGCAAATGTATATCTGCCAACACAAGATAAACAATAATGTATTTAATGAAATGAATTTTAGTTCCCAGGTTTTGTACCATAATAAATATGTTTGTCTTTAAAGGGTTACAGAGGTCTTGGTTATTTTCATTGCAATAGGTATTTGGTATGCTCATTTATTCCTTTATAGCTTGTTGAACTATTTTCTGAGGAGGTGTTACTAAACTATCCCTACATTACCTTTTAAAAAGATCATAATGTTCCATATATTATTCTGATCTTTGCCTATTTAACAATAATTCTGTTGCTGATTATTAAATTATTGCAGCTTAGGGATCTTCCTAAATGGGGATGCAATTGCAAGGGAACCGGGTGGGGGCTGGAATGGTGAGATGATGCTGTAGCTGGGTACCATTATGAGATTTCTTGTCCTATGAGAGTGAGGAAATCCCATTCTAAGCAGTAAATGCCACTATAGAAATGGCATTTGTTGATACCTGTTTTTTTTTTTTACTGAAAAAAGTTAAATAGATATCTGTCCAATAACTGAGCCCTGGTTGGTTGTCAATTTGTATACTCTGTTCTTAACCAAGAGAAACAAGTTCTAATTGGTTATGAGTTCTCTGCAAGAAATGGACTTGCAAAACTATGTCTATGTACAATGTCTCAACACCTGAATCAATTACAGATGGATTTAAAAACCAATCAGAAGTTCAGCAATAAAGTACTGTATGTATTGTCTAAAAGTAGCTTTTTACATATCCTGTAGTATTTATTAGTGCACTGTTACTATATATAGAAAATTATAGTTTTCTCATAATATAAATTGCTTAGGGTTTCAAAATTACTATCTGTGGTGTGTCACTATCAGGCTGTATGTTGAACAACAATAGATCTTCAATATTTCTGGATTCTATATCCTTCTAATAAGATGGGATTTACTGTCTAACAATTTTAATTCAATAAGACTTTAAATATAATCACAAATCTTTCTTCAGGTTCACAGTAACATATATTGCTTCAAATGCAGAATAATGGCATCCAGGCTTATCCTGCTGTTTCAGACACCAGAAAACTGATACTAATGCTGGTATCATGTTGGGAAGCATTTCACTTTCCAGCTAAATAACAAGCACAAGACATAGTATATAACTGATAGATTATAATTTCCTCAGCACTGTAATTTGAATGCCATGCACCAGTGTTGGCCAGTATGAGTTATCAAAGGCACTAAACAATATGCAGATATGATATATTTCCTGGTTCATTTCAGGAAAATTTCTTCTATCAAAGGTTTGTGTGCTTCAGCAGATAAGATGGCAGCAACATGTGCTTGTCATCATATTGTCAGCCTTTCTTCAAAAAATTTGCATATCATTCTTTTGCTACTGCCAAATATGGAAATGATGGCTATTTCACCAGCATCAAATATTAATTGCTAATGAACCTGTAGCTCTAGGATATTGTTGGACTACAACAT